CAGCCATCACTCCTTTTTAAACCTGAATCTTCTGGCACCCCGAGACAGCTGCTTCCATGGCTTTGATTATTTCACCGAAAGAACGCAGTGCACAAAACTGGGCAGGAATACCTCAAGTCCTCTGGTCACTAATTCTGGTGCGCTGCAAGGTGCTGCCCTCTCTCCGTATCTGCTCTCTGCTTTCATTAGTGATCTTTCAGTCCTACACCCTGCTCATATCCAAAAGTACGCTGACCATGTCACTTTATGTCAGACCGTTTCTTCTTCGAAATTTTCTTCCTGCACTGAAAATCTGTCCCGAATCGAAGTTTTCAAACCAGTCTGGCCTTAAGCTTAACACATCCAAGTGCTTGGAATGCATTTTTAGTTCTTCCCACTCTATATTCCCGTCAGACTGTAATCTTTTGTCTAGAGTGACCCCAGCCAAATATCTGGGTGTTACTATCGATAACAATCTTCGGTGGTCGACACATTCAGAACTGTATGGGGAAACCTCGGAGCCTCTCCTCTCCGCTCCGAAAGCTCAGACAATTTCGCACTCCCCAAGAAGTCTTGTTCTCTTTTATTTAATAATGCGTTCTCCCTATTTTACTTTACTGCTCTCCTGTAGTGTTTCCCAGACTATTGAAACAAGACTGTCCGTCGTGGATTAATGATAATAAGCCGGGGCATCTTTACTTTCTGCCGAATCATTAATCACAGAACTTATGAATGGTCACATGAAGTCTTGTATGACCTTTGCCAATAAGATTCTAAAAGACCCCACCCATCCTTTGCATTTTGACTTATCTTCTTTCCGCTCCCACTCGATCCTCGTATCTGCACTCACCCTCCCGAATAGACATTTATAAACTCCACTGTATCGTATCTGGCTAGCACCCTGATCAACCAGGAACGAGGTATAAATGAATTACGTCAATCTTTAATTGAATGAATAAAACTGTAGACATTAATTTTTTACACTCTATTGCATTTATTTATACTTTTATATTTTCTCCGGTGTGACGACCAGTGTACAATTTATAACTGAAATGTAAGCATAACTCAGCTTGCAAAAGTTATACAAATAAAAAAGTACTCATCACATTGAAGTAATTAAATGAAAATCGTAGAGAACTTAACAAGGCAGACAGTGCTTCATTGCGCGAATGAACTAAAATATATAATCGGCTTGAACGTCTTCCCGATGAACAGACCACTTGATTCCTGATTATAAGTGCTAAATTTCACGCAGAAATAAGTCTGTAAACAGATACAGTATGTGAACTAGATAACGTGTTAAAATCACCTGTGAATTCGGTAGACTCTAGCTAAAGTCCATTCTAATTCACATACATAGGACAGTTTTCCGGTCATATTACTTTGGTCTTACTCCTCGAGGATCGGTTAATTCCCTATTAACCTGACATTTTTTGATTTTGATTTTTTGAGATCCAAACACAAATTCTTTGAGATGATTCACACGGCCATATGTTCGTCGACTGAATGTGGCCCATGTGTAAGGGTTCCGGCTTCCAACTCGAACGGACGTGATTCGAGTCCCCGTAATAGTAACCAATGCAGAACAGTCTCATCGAAGACGAAATAGTTGTCCTTCATTGCCTTCTTTTGTCATGACACGCAGTATCACTGCACCCTCTGCGCTTTGCAGAACGCGAATACAACGAACAGCGCCTCTCTCTGAAGCGCGAACTCATAAAGAGTTTGAGAGACGACAGATAGGCCTGGTGGACGCTACGTACAAAGGAGATGGAATCAGTGGCTAGGTGTGAAAACAGCCGGTAACTATTCCAGCTCATCCGTGNCTCTCTTGAGAGTGCACCACTATCCACGGGACCGCCCACAGAAGCAGAGATCCGAAAGGAACTCCTAACCCTGAAACGCCACAAGGCAGCTGGATCAGACGGCCTGCCACCTGTCCTCTTTAAAGATGGTGGAGATGCTCTCGTAAGAGAACTTGTGAGACTGTTCTCCAATATCTGGGAAACTGAAAGTGTACCCCACACATGAGGAGAATCGATTGTCACACCCACCTACAAGAAGGGCTGTGGCAACGCCTGTTCCAATCACTGGAGCGTAAGTCTGATTCCAATAGCGCCGAAGCTGCTGGCGTCCGTTTTATTACGCAGGATGTGAGAAGCAAATCCGCGAGGAGTAGGCCGGGTTTCGTGCACGCCGTCGATGCGTAGATTCAATCTTCATCCCCCGTCAGCTATTAGAACACCGCCACGCATACAGAAGACAAACCATTGTCGTGCTTTTAGACATCAGGGCGGCTTTCGACCATATCGATCGCCCCGCACTATGGAACTGTTTGTGCAGACACGGAGTACCCGAGAAGTCTCACTCCTAAAAGCACTCTATCACCAGACCTCGGGGAAGGTTAGGGCCTATGGTGAATTTTCACCCTCATGTCCTGTCACCAGTGGGGTGCGACAGGGTTGCCCTATCTCTCCGTTTCTCTTCAACTTTGCCGTAGATGATGTCCTACAGAACGCGTTACATAACGTAACAAACCCTGGCGTCGAGCCTCTTCCTAGGGACAGAGTCGTAGACTTAGAGTATGCCGATGATACTGGGTGACAGCACACCAACGATTCAAGAGTCGATGAACCGTTTGGCAATTGAGGTTACTCGCTATGGTATGTCATCTGCACCTTCAAAGTGCAGTGTTGTTGCAGGATTGGCAGGAATCCATTACTGCACATTCGTTTATGACACTCTGGAAGTAGTTGAAAGCTTTGTCTACCTTGCGAGCTGCATAACGGCTGACGGAGTTGTGGGCGAGATCTTTCAACGCATGATCAAAGCTAGATTAGCGTTTACTAATCTGCGGCATCTCTGGCGCCGGCGCGACACATCCCTTTCACTGAAAGAACGTGTGTATTGCGCAACGGTACGCACCGTGTTGCTCTATGGCTGAGAGACCTGGCGTCTCCGAGGAGATCACGTCCAGCGATTATCAGTCTTCGACAACCGTTGTCTGCGCAACATCGCCCGCGTAGGGTGGGAGCATCGCGTGAACAACGATGAAGTCAGACGATGGGTGCTAGCACCAGAGTCTTCCTTTGAGCAAAATAATTTCACTGCATCGTCTTAGGTGGCTAGGGCACATCCTACGAATGCCTGAGCACCGTCTGCCACACCGTGCACTATTCGCAGACATCAGTCCAGGCTGGAAGAAACAGCGAGATGGGCAGGCTATGACGTGACGCAGAGGGTTAAAGAGATTGTGCTCGGATCTGGCTTCTCTTGGGGTTTCTCGGCTCCCCGGCTGGAGACAATGCGGGATATGGCATCGAACCGAAGTCAGTGGCGCGAATGCATCCTCTCTTGTCTGCAATCCCAAAAATAAACAAAAACAAAAAAAATCAAAATGACGTGCAGTAAAGAAACAAATATTGTTACTCTCTGAAGTTGACGGTTTTATTTTCCCCGGTTTTGTACCTATATCTTTTTTGTTCACCCATGGTTATTTGGCGCCGTATTTGTAAAGATTGGTGTTATATCTATATCTATCCAATATATATATATATATATATATATATATATATATATATATATATATATATATATATATATATA